TCTCTTTGTAGCAATTGTGAATGGGAGTTTGCTCATGATTTGGCTCTCTGTTAGTCTGTTATTGGTATATAGAAATGCTTATGATTTCTGAACATTGATTTTGTATCCTGAGAATTTGCTGAAGTTGCTTAATAGTTTCAGGAGATTTTGGGCTGAGACAATGGGGCCTTCTAAATATACAATCATGTCGTCTGCAACTAGAGGCAATTTGACTTCCTCCTTTCCTATTTGAATACCCTTTATTTCTTTTTCTTGCCTGATTGCTCTGAGTAGAACTTCCAATACTATATTGAATAGGAGTGGTGAGAGAGGGTATCCTTGCCTGGTGCCACATTTCAAAGGGAATGCTTCCAGTTTTTGCCCATTCAGCATGATATTGGCTGTTGGTTTGTCAAAAATAGCTTTTATTATTTTGAAATACATTCCATCAATACCTAGTTTATTGAGGGTTTTTAGCATAAAGGGCTGTTGAATTTTGTCAAAGGCCTTCTCTGCATCAATTAAGATAATCATGTGATTTTTGTCTTTGGTTCTGTTTATGTGGTGAATTACGTTTATAGACTTGCATATGTTGAACCAGCCTTGCAACCCTGGGATGAAGCCAACTTGATAGTGATGGATAAGCTTTTTGATGTGCTGTTGTAATCAATTTGCCAGTATGTTATTGAAGATTTTTGCATCTATGTTCATCATGGATATTGGCCTGAAGTTTTCTTTTCTTGTTGAATCTCTGCCAGGTTTTGGTATCAGGATGACGTTGGTCTCATAAAATGATTTGGGAAGGATTCCCTCTTTTTGGATTGTTTGGAATAGTTTCAGAAGGAATGGTACCAGCTCCTCTTTGTATGTCTGGCAGAATTCGGCTGTGAACCCATCTGGCCCTGGACTTTTTTTGGTTGGTAGGCTATTAATTGCTGCCTCAACTTCAGCCCTTTTTATTGGTCTATTCAAGATGTCAACTTCTTCCTGGTTTAGGCTTGGGAGGGTGCAAGTGTACAGGAATTTATTCATTTCTTCCAGGTTTACTGGTTTAAGTGCATAAAGTTGTTTGTAGTAATCTCTGATTGTAGTTTGTATTTCTGTGGAATCAGTGGTGATATCCCCTTTATCATTTTTTATTGCATCTATTTGATTCTTTTCCCTTTTTTATTAATCTGGCTAGTGGTCTATTTTGTTGATCTTTTGTATTTCTGTGGAATCAGTGGTGATATCCCCTTTATCATTTTTTATTGCATCTATTTGATTCTTTTCCCTTTTTTATTAATCTGGCTAGTGGTCTATTTTGTTGATCTTTTGTATTTCTGTGGAATCAGTGGTGATATCCCCTTTATCATTTTTTATTGCATCTATTTGATTCTTTTCCCTTTTTTATTAATCTGGCTAGTGGTCTATTTTGTTGATCTTTTCAAAAAACCAGCTCCTGGATTTACTGATTTTTTTGAAGGGTTTTTTATGTCTCTATCTTCTTCAGTTCTACTCTGATATTAGTTATTTCTTGTCTTCTGCTAGCTTTTGAGGTTTTTTTTTAATCTTGCTCCTCTAGCTCTTTCAATTTTGATGATATGGTGTAGATTTTAGATCTTTCCTCGCTTCTCATGTGGGCATTTAGTGCTATAAATTTCCTTCTAGACACTGCTTTAAATGTGTTCCAGGGATTCTGGCATGTTGTGTCTTCGTTCTCGTTGTTTTCAAAGAACATCTTTATTTCTGCCTTCATTTCATTGTTTATCCAGTTGACATTCAGGAGCCAGTTGTTCAATTTCCATGAAACTGTGTGGTTCTGAGTTAGTTTCTTAATTCTAAGTTCCAATTTGATTTGCCTGCAGTCTGGGAGACTGTTTGTTATGATTTCTGTTCTTTTGCATTTGCTTAGGAGTGATTAACTTTCAATTATGTGGTCAATTTTAGAGTAGGTGCAATGCAGTACTGAGAAGAATGCATATTCTGTGGATTTGGGGTGATTTCTGTAGATGTATATTAGGTCCAATTGGTCCAGATCTGAGTTCCGGTCCTGGATATCCTTGTTAATTTTCTGTCTCATATTGATCTGTCTCATATTGACAGAGGAGTGTTAAAGTCTCCCAATATTATTTTGTGGGAGTCTAAGTCTCTTTGTAGGTCATTAAAAACTTGCTTTATGTACCTGGGTGCTCCTGTATTAGATGCATATATATTTAGGATTGTTAACTCTTCTTGATGGATTGATCCTTTTAGTGTTATATAATGCCCTTCTTTGTCTCTTTTGATCTTTGTTGGTTTAAAGTCCATTTTATCAGAGACTAAGATTGAAACTCCTGCTTTTTTTTTATTTTGCTCTCCATTTGCTTGATAAATCTTCCTCCATCCCTTTATTTTGAGCCTATGTGTGTCCTTGCGTGTGAAATGGGTTTCCTGAATACAGCACACCGATGGATCTTGACTTTTTATCCAATTTGCCAGCCTGTGTCTTTTGATTGGGGCATTTAGCCCATTTAAATTTAAGGTTAATATTGTTATGTGTGAATTTGATCCTGCCATTTTGATGCTAGCTGAATGTTTTTCCTGTTAGTTGACACATTTGTTTCATTGTGTCAATGATCTTTACCATTTGGTATGCTTTTGGAGTGGCTGGTACTGATTGTTCCTTTCCTTGTTTAGTGCTTCTTTCAGGAGCTTTTATAAGGCAGGCCTGGTGGTGATGAAATCTCTCAGCAATTGCTTGTCTATAAAGGATTTTCTTTCTCCTTCACTTATGAAACTTAGTTTGGCTGGACATGAAATTCTAGGTTGAAAGTTCTTTTCTTTAAGGATGTTGAATATTGGCCCCCACTCTCTTCTCTCCTGTAGGGTTTCTGCAGAGAGATCAGCTGTGAGTCTGATGGCCTTCCCTTTGTGGGTAACCTGACCTTTCTCTCTGGCTGCCTTTAGCATTTTTTCCTTCATTTCAACCCTGGTGAATCTGATGATTACATACCTTGGGGTTGCTCTTCTTGAAGAATATCTTTGTGGTGTTCTCTGTATTTCCTGGACTTGAATGGTGGCCTGGCTTGCTAGGTTGGGGAAGTCCTCTTGGATAATATCCTGAAGAGCGTTTTCCAGCTGGAATTCATTCTCTCTGTCATATTCAGGGACACCTATCAAACGTAGATTAGGTCTTTTCCCCTAATCCCATATTTCTTGGAGGCTTTGTTCATTTCTTTTCACTCTTTTTCCTCTATTCTTGCCTTCTCATTTTATTTCATTGAGTTGATCTTCGATCTCTGATATCCGTTCTTCTGCTTGGTCAATTTGGCTATTGAAACTTGTGTATGCTTCGGGAAGTTCTTGTGTTGTGTTTTTCAGCTCCATCACATCGTTTATATTCTTCTCTAAGCTGTTTATTCTAGTTAGCATCTCATCTAAGCTTTTTTCTAGTTCTTAGTTTCTTTGCATTGAGTTAGCACATGTTCTTTTAGCTCTGAGAAGTTTGTTATTACCCACCTTCTGAGGCCTGTCTCTGTCAATCCATCAGATTCATTCTCCACCTGTCTTTGATCACTAGCTGGTGAGAAGTTGTGATCCTTTGGGGGAGGAGAGGCACTCTGGTTTTTGGTGTTTTCATCCTTTTTGCGCTGGTTTCTTCCCATCTTAGTGGCTTTATCTGCCTGTGGTCCTTGTAGTTGGTGACTTTCGGGTGAAGTCTCTGAGTGGACATCCTTTTTGTTGATGATGAAGTTATTTCTTTCTGTCTCTTGGTTTTCCTTCTAACAGGTCCCTCTGCTGCAGGACTGCTGGAGGTCCCCTCCAGACCCTGCTTGCCTGAGGATCATCCACGGGGTCTGCAGAACAGTAAGGGTTGCTGCCAGTTTCTTCTTTTGTTATCTTCATCCCAGAAGGGTACCTGCCAGATGTCAGCCTGAGCTCTCCTTTATGAGGTGTCTCTTTGGGTGTATAGGGGTTGGGGTGCTGCTTGAGGAGACAGTCTGTCCTTTATAGGACCTCAAGTGCTGTGCTGGGAGCTCCACTGTTCTGTGCAGAGCTGCTGGGCAGGTACTTTTAAGCCTGCTGTAGTGGAGCTCATAATTGCCTCTTTACCCAGGTGCTCTATCCTAGGAAGGTTGGCTTTATTTATAAGTCCCTGTTGTGCTGCTGCCTATTTTCATAGATGCCCTGCCTGACACGGAGTAGTCTAGTCACAGTCTGCCAGCAGAGGCGTTGCTGAGCTGCCACAGGCTCTGCCCAGCTGCTGTGTGAACTGCCTCAGTAGTGGTGGTTGCCCTTCACCCCACTGAGCTGGACCATCCTGGGTCCAGCTGCGCTTGCTGCAAAACTCTCAATCCAGAGCATTTCAGATTGCTTGTTTTGTGGGGTGGTACCCCCCCAAGCCAGATCACCTGGCTCCCTGTCTCTGCCCCCTCCCTTTCAGTTGAATGGCTGGTTCTGTCTCCCAGGTGGTCCAGACACCAGTTGAAACGGCCACCCAGATTTGTCCAAGTTTCTGGGCGCCAACACGGCACCAGCTGAAACTGCGATGCTGAAAATTTGTGGCGCTTTTCTGCCTGGGAATCTCCTGGTCTGTGGGCAGTGAAAATTTGTTTGGAAATGCAGTGAGCACTCACCCTCTGCCTTGTTTTGCTGGGAACTGCACTCTGGAGCTTTTCCTATTCGGCCATCTTGGATCCTCCCCCAAGGATTCCTCTTTACATTTTCACTCTAGGGAGTAATTCCTGAGACTACACCAGACTTGGGAGACGAGTTGACCTGGAAATGAAAAGTAACACTCATGCTATGCAAATTTTAACCGTAGAACATAATGACAATGTAAATTACTTAATCTTGAAGATGTGGATACATAAACAAAAGCCAAGAATCAGGTGAAAGCCTGATCCAAGTAAACTAATCACAGTTAATTTAAAAATACTGTTTAAGAAACACTGCTCAATTAATTGGCATTAGTTGGTTTATTTGTAATAATAAAAAGACAGTTACATTTTATATTAGTGTAAACACATTTTAACATATAAAAGACAAGTTTTGGAACTTCCTGGGAATATGTATATTTGTTTTTAAAAGTTCATTCTAAAGTAAGGTCCATAGGTCTTACATTTTCCTTCTCTACCAGGTAGAGCAGGGTTGCTTCATATCATCAGTAGAGTTCAAGTCACTAAACTAAGGCAAAATCTGGTCTTTGGCATGTATTTGAGGTCCAGAAGATGATGGACAAGATGAAAAACCTGATCCTTGAAGAAAAAAAGAACCAGAAGCACAGCCAGGGCCAGATGCTGAAGAAGATCAATTCAATGTGGAATCATAGAATCTATGGGATAAATCAGGCAACAAACCCAGTGGGAATTAAGGAGTAGGCAGAAGCAGAGCCAGGAGGTACACAGCTGATTTAGCATCTTTATAGCTAGAATTATCTTTTCAGCTCATTCCCCTCTAAGATATATCTATTGGTTTTGAAGATACAGCTCCCTGATACCAACATCAATGGTGTTCTTGAACTTGAAATCAAAAGGATCTGCATCCTCCTTCCAGCTCTGACACGTATTAGCTGCATAAACCTAGACAAAATATTTATATTATTTGAATTATAATGGACAACATAATATCTCACTCAGAAATACTATGAAGATTAAATAAAATAATGGGTGTTAGCTTCATGGTACACTCTAGACTCTTCATGATGTTATTCCTTCTCCATGCACTCATGCTTCAACACCCCTGGAGCCTTCTGGAATACAAAGTATCCAGTTTTCATGTAGTAGTGATAGGGGAAAATGGCGTATGATAGAGGTGTTATTACACTGGAAAATGTGATGCCAGGGAAGCCACTTAAAGATTGAACCCCTCCTAACTTAGCAGGTACTGAGACCAGCTTCAGTGCCAGCAAAGTTTAATACGCATTCCCATGAGTGGGGGACCCAGAAAAGTCAAATGTAAGGTGAGTTCTTCTGTGTCAGGGTGAAGGAGAAGTCATGCAATATAAAGTTTATGTGGAGAAGAATAGGAGCAGGAGATACAGTGTGCAAGTCAATCATGACTGTTAATAAGCATACACACACACACACATATTCACATTATATGACTGTTAATAAGAAGCATATATATATGCTTATATATATATGAAACTAAGCACCTTCCATGTTCCAGAGTCTGCGCTGGGAGTTTTACATCTCATTCATTCTCATTATTATTGCAAGGTAAATATTAATATAGCCATTTTATAGATGGGGACATTGATCTTCAAAGAGGTAAAATAACTTGTCCAAATTACAGCCAACAAGTAATAGTAACGAGTCTGTTCAACTCTGTATCCTTGGATCTTATGTTGGATTCATTGATTTATTTTGGAGGCTGAAATATTGTGGGGGTTTTGATATGGGTCTTCTGCTACCAGGGGAACTGCTACCAGTTAACCAGAGATTTAACCTGAAATGTTGATTGCTGATGTACAGACTTCTCCAAATTTAACTAGGTAATAATTCATAATGAGCACAACAGTGAAGCAGTCAAGTGTGGAAAGAATATGAAAAAAAATTATCCTAGATGTCACATGCATACATTAGATATATACTGTGGCAACAAAAAAAAATTTCTCTGGATTTAGATTTATTTACAGTGGAGAATAGATTTCTAGACTAGGAAAAGTACTAAAGTAAAAAATATATATTGCATAGGAAACAGGAAAGATTCCCTTGTCTCCCTCGCAGGGGGTGCAATGGGGGTGTGGCTCACTTCTTCAGTGCCTTGCTGCTCAGATCTCTAGGGAGCATGCAGACAGGAAGGCTCTGGGTTCCAACCCCACGGCAGTGTGTAAGAGTGAATGTTTACAGCTCCTGAAACCCCAGTGGCAGTGTAATACAGGATGCTCTTTTAGTTTAGCTGTCCCTAGGCAGCTTGTGTTAGTCAGCTCAATTAGACCCCTGCCTTATCGAAAAGACAGAGATTCTGTATCCAGAGATTCTTGCCTCGATACACCCCAACTATGGGATCACGTGTGGGCTTGGAGAATGATGGCAAATTGAATGAAAGTAGCTCTTAGCAGATGGGGGAGCCAGAAGAGGGATGTTTTCTCCTGGAGTCAGGCCACTCGGTGGCCCAACTCTTCTCTAAACACCCCCCACCCCATTGTTCTGCTCTTTGATGGCCTGCCAGAGCGCCCTCTGCTCCTACACCAGTGCATTCCTCTCAACGGCCAGTGCATCCCCCTCAACGGCCAGCTGCCTGTGTGTTCCTCCACTGATGTGCGCCTCTCAATGTCCAGCCATTTGTGTATCTGCCACCTGGGGTCTCGGGTTTTTATAGGCACAGGATGGGAGTGTGGCAGGCCAGGGTGGTCTTGGGAAATGCAGTATTTGGGCAGGAAATCAAAAATGCCTGTCCTCACCTAGGTCCATGGGCATAGGCCCAGGGGTGGAGCCCTAGCCAGGATCACACCATTCTCATATATATAATTGCACTTTAGGTTCGGGGTACATGTGCAGAACATAAAGGATTGTTGCATAGGTACAGGTTTGCTGCCTCCATCCCCCCATCACCTATATCTGGCATTTCTCCCCATGTTATCCATCCCCAACCTCCCTACCCACTTCTGTCCCTCCCCTAGGCACCCCACAACAGACCCCAGTGTGTCATGCTCCCCTCCCTGTGTCCATGAGTTCTCATTGTTCAACACCTGCCTATGAGGGAAAACATGCAGTGTTTGATTTTCTGTTCTAATGTCAGTTTGCTGAGAATTATGGTTTCCAGATTCATCCATGTTCCTACAAAGGACATGAACTCATCCTTTTTTATCACTGCATAGTATTCCATGGTGTATATGTGCCACATTTCCCTTGTCCAGTCTATCATTGATGGGCATTTGGGTTGGTTCCAGGTCTTTGCTATTGTAAACAGTGCGGCAATGAACATACATATGCATGTGTCTTTATAATAGAACGATGTATAATCCGTTGGATATACACCCAGTAATGGGATTGCTGGGTCAAATGGAATTTCTATTTCTAGGTCCCCGAGGAATCACCACACTGTCTTCCTCAATGTTGAACAAATTTACACTCCCACCAACAGTGTAAGTGCTCCTATTTCTCCACATCCTCTCTAGTATCTGTTGTCTCCAGATTTTTTAATGATCGACATTCTAACTGGCGTGAGACGGTATCTCAATGTGGTTTTGGTTTGCATTTCTCTAACGGCCAGTGGTTATGAGCATTTTTTTATATGTTTATTGGCCTCATATATGTCTTATTTTTAAAAATGCCTGTTCATGTCCTTTGCCCACTTTTAAATGGGTTTTTTTTTTCTTGTAAATCTGTTCTAGCTATTTGTAGATTCAGGATGTTATCCCTTTGTCAGATGGGTAGTTTGCAAAAATTTTTTCCCATTCTGTTGGGAACCACACCATTCTCTACCCAGCACTTCCTTCTCCCACTTCTGTATTGTTTAAAGGGACCAGACCTTCCCTTCCCAGCATTTCCCTATCACAAAGAGGAAGAAGCTTCCAAAAGTTCAAATGATGTTATTGTATTTTAATATTCAGTATATAATATTATAATTCTCTAACTCTGTCCAAAATTTTCAATGCAGTCTCAGTTTCTTTTTATTTTTCTAAAAAATGTAAATCCAATTTCTAATGATAACCAGTGAAAAAACCTAATTTGCTTATAAGGAACTATTTTTCCATTCATGTTTGGTGGCATTCATCTACATGCTAATGAAACATGAAAGTTCAGTTCTCAACATTTAACTACCCCATATCGACACATATGAAACCACTTTAAAGAAAAAGGGTATCATATTTAGATGTGAAGAAAATTGGAATAGGTGTGAAAAGGCTAAGACCTCAGCGTCTCTTTACTTCAGAAAATTAGCATTATTGATATTCACTCTTTAAAGAAAGAATGGTAGGAGATGAGTTATGAAATGCAATCTGTGCATCAGATACCACCAAGAGCTTTGAAGCCAGCTTAATTAAAGCAAATTTGAATAAAGTCAGAAGTGCAAGCACATACTTGTAATCCCAGCACTTTAGGAGGCCGAAGAGGAAGGATCACTTGAGCCCAGAAGTTAGAGGCTTCGGTGAGCTATCATCTCACACCTTCACTCTAGCCTGGGTAACAGAACAAAACCTTGTCTTAAAAATAAAATAAAAAAATCTGTTATCACATCTGAATTAGACTAGGTTCCTCAAATTTCAGCCAAAGTCAGAAATCCAGGAAATAATATTACTAGTCAAGGATGTGGATATTTTTGCCCAGTAAAACTGATTAAATTTTTCCCTGAGGAAAGACTGATGTTAAGAGAAGACTAACACTTTGAGGCAGGTAACATAAATAACAAATTTATTCAAGTAGCACTCTTTGTTAAGAACTGGGGTCTGCTTGCACCAGCGCCCACGTGTGGATGCTGTCATGTGTGGGGTCCAGAAAGCATGGCATCCGCCCGGGCAGAGGGCAGACAGTTACGGGAAGAGCAGCCAGGGGTGAAAAGCCCTGTTCTCTCCATTCAGCTGCTACTCAATTTCTCAGCCTAAACACAGAACTCACGTAATGGCTGTTGAATTCCTTTTTGAATGACAATATAGATACCTCAATCTCAGCTAAATCTCATTTTATGCTCATTTCACTTTGCTGCAGCATTTGTTGTTTTCCGTGCTGCATTTTTCTTGAACAATCACCAAACTGGCAGACTCTGACTAGCTTGTCAGAAAGGAAAAGGAATTTATATTTCATAGGAAATTAATCCAATCAGTGGAACATTTATAAGAGACCAAGCCAGACTTGTTTACAAATGAACAGTACCTGAAGGGGAGAGATTTTAATCTCATTATAATATGACCTTCCAAAGATTAGGACACAATTGTTTAATTCTCCTTGTTAACTCACTGTGTTTAAACTTTACTGTGTCTTATGGTTATCAGGGAAAATAAGGAAACTAAAAATCACCTTATTCTAATAAAATAGGAAGCGGGAGGAGGTAAACCAATAATAACCGTTAATACCGTGATGAAAATAGCCCTCCATAAAACAAGGATAAACAACGTTGCAGTCTAATTTACTTCTGCATAAAATGTAAACTACAACTCAATGTGCAATAAAATATTAGTATCTTTACTGCCAGCATAATCTTAACCAATCATTTCTTATTTCTGTAGTTACAGTAAGTCATCTGCATGAAATTTGACTGAATAAGGTTAGCCCAGCAACTGAAAGTACTGGGGCTTTCCATTTTTCCATTTCATAAAATCTTTTCTCATTAATGTTCTCACACATTTCTAAGCTATCCCCAAACTGGATCAGCCTCTACTCTTTTCAGAATGTCACCAACCCAAAACAGTTTTCTTCTTAACAATCCCCTTTTTTGTAATACATAAACGCATTCTTCAGGGGCACTGTAATTATCCAAAATGAGGTTTAGTACTGCAAATGACTTCAGCACTCCTATGATTTATCTGTAGTAAACATACTTTATAATATTTATATTCCCATTAAAACTGCCACTAATAATGAATCGACAGAACGTAAACATTTATATGATACAGCACGGACAAATACCGGATGCCCCTATAATAGTTACATTCCTTGCTCTTCCTATCAGGTTGAGAAAAACCAAGCCTTGGCATTTTGCCATGTTTATGAAAATACCTTTGAAAATGGCTCAGCACATTGCACTTCACATTTGCAACCATTTCCTTTAAAAAGATGGCATTCGTCCGTACTTATGAGGTCTGGGTTATTGCATTTTCACATTATGCATCATTACTCCGAGTAGGTGTCTTATCAGCAGCTCCAGTTGCTGTGGAGAAGATTGGAATTAAGCATTGGAAGCTTTTTATTTATTTTACATGCTTTATTCCTACAAGATTTTCTGCATATAAGCTTCTTTGTTCGGCTGAGAATTGGATACATTGCCAAGGCATTGTAAAATTTACATCTTGCTTTTTCTCCTGTATTCTTTCCAAAATTGGATTGAAAACAAAGTATAGTTTTTAATTAAAGCTCTGACCGACAACAGACATTTTTTCCGCCAAGCACTGGCATTCTTAATCAGTGGTGAGGTTTCATAAAAGCCTAATAGAAGATGTTCACTACTTAACCACAATCAGCCTTCAAGCAGTTTGTACTTCAGAAAATATCTGGGATATTCCTGACAATATAATTTAAAGATAACGATCACCAAAGTTGATTCAACTGTAATCAACAAGACCATGGACAAATCTGAAACAAATTTACCTTTTCTTTGTAGCATCATGTAATCCAAAGTGATGTTCCTGCTGACTTCAACAGAGAAAAACTGAAAGTAAAGCTTGTTATTTTTTCAAGCAGTTTCAGAATAGACTTTTGATTAGTATTTTATTATTTAGTTCAATCTATCATGGCTTACTTTATCCTGAAGTGAAATCCAAAAGTCATCATCTTTTGGCCTTCAAAATGTCTTAATGACTTAAATATCCTCAGCAAGGCCAGTAGCCAAATCATCTGAACACAGGTTTAACCAATCTGAAGATCATAGTAAACTTTGTTATGTGATTTAAGGCTAAGCTGGTCAAGAAATCAGTGGCTCTGTCTTCCCATTTGTAAAACGAAGTTGGAAAACGCTTCTCCTACCTGGGAAAAATTTTGCCCTTCCTTATGGAAGTTTTGGATTCTTTGTCTTCTGTAACACCATGAATTTCCTCTCTCTCCCTGGGCTATCTGCCTCCTGCATCCAACATTTAGATCTTGAAATTCTTCAGGACACAGTCATAGCTCTTTATATTCTCCTGCCATACTTTCACCTGAGGGTATCTCATCCATTTTTCAGAGCTTTAAAAACATCTAAGCCAATGATACCTAAATTTTTATGTTCATTCCAGGGCTTCACTGAGATCCAGACTTTTACATCCAAATACTAATTGATTTCTTGACTTAAACATTTCACAGACACCTCCAGATTAATCTATGCAAAACTAGAATATTACATTTCTCCCTAAAGGTGAATAAGGTATTTTATTCAGGCCAGACAAAATTGCTGCCACAAAAGCAGGTTGAGATGAAAGAAGAAATAAAGGGTAAAGTGGAAAATTAGTAGGCAGCTCTAAATAAGTATCAACTGTATAAAACAATAAATTTAAGAATTAAAAAGATAGTGAATTAGAATTTATTACAAAAATATCAGTTACCATATTAAATATAAATTAATGATAAAAGAATCACCAAGAAAGTTTAACAAATTAAAATATATATGCAGTCAATTACATGACCTCAAAATGCATAATTTTATAAAAGAATAAAATTATGAGAAAAACCCAAAGGTACAGTCAGTGGCAGTTTGCATTTATAAATTCAAGAAAAATACAGAGGAAAAAAATTAACAAATATTATAGCACGCAAATGCAAAATAATAAAAATTGGACAATATTCTATGCCATAAAGTAAGTACAAGTAAATATAAAAGGTATATATTTTTGATAACTATTAATATTCAAAATATACCTAGAAAATTACTATGTTTAGACATTATAAAAACACATATGAAAGGGAAATCATGAGAGAAAAAAGAAAGTATACTAAACTGAATGTTAATGAAAACACTATGTTACAATTTGAAAAGTACAGCATGTAAAATGTATAGACTTAGAAGCACACATTCAAAAGAAAAAATGGCTTAAGTCATTATTTAAGAATTTGTCTTCAGAAATTACATAAAGGACAGCAAAAAATGAAGTATAAAGAAAAAAGCATTAAAGAAAAAGAGTAAACATTGATGAATGATGATGAAATAAATGATTAAATATGATAGAAGACAAAGCCAAAAATTGGGAGACTAACAACATTTAAATATATATATATATGTAATCAAGAGAATAATATCAGGAATAAAATGAGGAGATCTTATTCCTGTAATATCTATAGAATTAGGAATAAAATAGAGGAGATTCTATAGATATTACAAAGATAATAACTATATGTAATAACTTTATTTCAATAAATTGAGAAATTCGGAAGAAACTGTCTAGAAAATTTCTAGAAAACTCATAAATTTGACAAAAGAAAATACTGAGACAAACGTAAAGAAACTGAAACAGCCATATAAAACTTCCTCCAAAATGTTTAGATTCAAATATCTTTACTAGCAGACTTAGGGAAAAATTAATATCAATCCTACATATTTCCAGAGAACAACAAAATAAGATAAACTCTAATACATGGTATCAGACTGGATTTTCTTGATACCAAAAACCAATAAAGAGAATATGACAAGGGAAACGTACAGTCCAATCTCATTATGAACATAAATCCAAAAATTCTTAAAAATGTAAACCCAGCAATTGGTAAAAAGGAGACTTCATCATAAACACATTGGTTTATACCAGAAATTTGGGTTAGTTTAACATTAGAAAGGCAATGCAATTTGTCACATTGAGAACAAAATAAAAATAGACATCACCTCATTGATACATAGAAAGCATCTGAGTTTTAAAATCCATTCATGATAAAAATTAAAAATAAAAACTCATGACAAACTAGAACTAGAATGGAGCTTCCTCAATCTGATAAAGGCTAATAAAAATTTTTTTTAAAAATCCACTGCAAACAATCTTATCTAATGGTAAGATTTTCAAAGCATTCCTTTGAAGTCAAGAATGTCAAATATCATCACTTCACTTCAGTCTTGCACTGAAGGGCCTTGATAGCACTGAAAGGCAAGAAAGAGAAATGAAAAGTATAATGATTAGGAAAGGAAAATTTAGGTTGTCATTATTCTCAGTTAACATAATTTCATTTGTAGAAAATATAACAGAAACTACAGATTAATCAGAAGTATTCTGTAGCAAGGTTGCAGAAAAACATCAGTTATATTTATATGCCAGTATCAAACACTTAGAAAATATATTTTTTTAAGTCACCACTTCATTGGGGAAACTCCCAGAACATCAGCTTAGCAAAGAATTCTTGAGTAATACCCCAAAAGCACAGGCAACCAAAGCAAAAATGGACAAATGAGATCACATCAAATTAAAAAGCTTCCACACAGCCAAAGAAAAAAATCAACAGTGAGGAGACAACCTAAGAAATTAATAACCACAATATAGAAGGAACTCAAAAGGAAAAAAAAAATCTAATAATCCAATTAAAAAATGGACAAAGGATCTGAATAGAAATTTCTCAAAGGAAGACATATATATGGCAAACAGGCATGTGAAAATGTGCTCAATATCAATGATCCTCAGAGAAATGCAAATCAAGACTGCAATGAGATATCAACTCATCCCACTTAAAATGACTTTTAGACAATAACGAATGCTGACAAGGATATGTTGAAAAAGGAACCCTCATGCACTGTTGGGAATGTAAATTAGTACAGTTTCTGGAGAAAAGTATGGAGGTTCCTAACAAAACTAAAAATAGAACTACCAGGGCCAGGCACGGTGGTTCACACCTGTAATCCCAACACTTTGGGAGGCTGAGGTGGGCAGATTATTAGAGATGAAGAGTTTGAGACAGCTTGGCAAATGTGGTGAAACCCCATCTCTACTAAAAATACAAAAAAAATAAAAATTAGCCAGGCATTGTAGTGCACACCTGTAATCCCAGCTACTTAGGAGGCTGAGGCATGAGAATTGCTTGAACCTGAGAGGCGGAGTTGCAGTAAGCTGAGATTGTGCCACTGAACTATATAGCATGGGTGACAGAGTGAAACACATCTAAAAAAAAAAAAGAAAAAGAAAATAAAAAGAACTACCATATGATCCAGCAATCTCACACCTAGCTATATATTCAAAAGAAAGAAAATCAGTATATCAAAGAAATATGTGCACAGCCATGTTTGTTGCAGAACTATTCACAATAGCCAAGACTTGGAAACAACCTAACTATCCTACAACAGACAAATGGATAAAGAAAATGTGGTACATATGCACAATGGAGTACTATTCAGCCATAAAAAGGATGAGATCCTGTCATTTGCAACAATGTGGATGGAGCTGGAGGATGTTTATGTTAAGTGAAATAACCCAGGCACAGAAAACCAAACTTTGCATGTTCTCACTTATTTGTGGGAGCTAAATATGCAAACAATTGAACTCAAGGAGACAGAAAGTAGAATGCTGGTTACCACAGGCAGGAATGGTAGTGGGGAGGGGAGGGAAAGTGGGGATGGTTAATGGGTACAAAATATGGTTAGAAAGAATAAATCAGACCTAGTATGTCATAGCACAACAGGGTAACTACAGTCAACAAAAATTTATTGTACATTTAAAAAATAATATAATTAAAATATTTGTAACACAAAGAAATGATAAATGCTTGAGGTTATAGATACCCCATTTACCTTGATGTGATCATTACACGTTGTATACCTGTATCAAAATTTCTCAGGTACCCCATATATACATATATCTACTACATACTCTTAAAAATTAAAAATTAAAAATATAGCATAAAAATAGTAAATGCCATAAATAATAGCATTTATATACGGATATTTATGAAAAACTTTATTAATCAAGACAGAGCAGTGATGACCATTAAAAAACAAAGATTCATACATTGAAACATATTAAAATTAAGAAATTTGGATTCTCAAGAGAAATTATTATTTAAGTGTGAAAATGGTTTTGTTATTATATTTTAAGAGATGTTATATTATGAGATATGTACTGAAATATGTATACGTGAAACTATATAATGTCAAAATTACCTTAATCTGGAATTCAAAAAATTGGGTGGGGTATAAATTAAACAAGATAGGCCAGGGGTTTATAATTTAAAGCTGGATACATTATACTACTCATCCCTCTTTTGTACATATTTCCAATTTCTGCAATAATGACCGAGTGAGAGCCAACACCGAAAATCAACAATGAACTTATATGCAAAATATATTAAAACTTCCATAATTGACAATAAAAAGCCTGAAAACTCAATAGAAAAATGGGCCAATGACACCACCAGGTTCTTCAAAAAAGATAAAATGCAAATGGACAACAAACGTGAAAAAGTGCTTGAACTTATTTGTAAGCAGGAAAATGTAAATAAAACAATGAGAAACTACCACATACTAAATTTGGGGAAAAAACTAACAATAACATTGGCAAAGAAGTGAAGGGATGGGTTTCTCATACATGCTGTTGGGATTGGAGATTAGAACAATCACTTTCAGAAACACTTTTGGATTCTAGAAAAGCTGGAAATTGACCCAGAAATTCAAATTCTAGGCTTATACCCTAGAAAACTCAGATATGTGCACCTGGATACCTACAAAAGATTGCTTATAACAACATTGTTCCATTTGGCTTTATACTAAAAATAAATTAAATGGCCATCAATAATAAGATGAACAAGTAAACTGAGGTTTATTTACTAGATGGAATACTATACAGTAATGAAAATGCACAACCTACAGCTACACCAACAATGGAAATAAATCTTACAAGCATAATTCATTTGATAAAAACTCAAGAACTGGCTGAACCAAACCACGCTATTTAAGATTGAATATTAGGCAGCAAAATTGTAAAGAAAAACAAGGAAGGAATTACTGTATAAGTCTGGATAATACTATTCCCATGAAGGGAAGAAGGAAATTGTGACCAGGAAGGTGTTCAGGAGTTGCTTCTGGAGTGAGGGGAATGTTATATTTCTTGATCTGATTTCACGGTGTTCACTTTATAATACCTTGTGAAATTGTGCAATTATATTTATGCACTTTTCTGGAAGTCTGTTATAATTCGCATTAACAATTAAAAGAAAGAAAAGAATTATTCTCTCACTGCAGAAGGCCATACAGAACAATAAAATCTTATTCTTTTATGAAATTGTTTTTTGTTGGAGGTTGGGAGTTTGTTATTAGCTATAATTTTTGAACATTTGAGAAGGGAACTTAATGAGAAATGAAAATGAGCCGTTTTTACTTTACTGATAGGCATTCTAAATGATAAAATATACCTTAAGAAATATGTTCATATTTTCAATTAATGCTGTAAAGAGATATTTCAAACTAGGTAACAATTGTCTTGAAGAAAGGCTTGTTTTAGTAAAGAAGAATAATGGTCAACTATGCAATCCATCTCAATAA